CCCATTGTGTCCACCCCTGTAGCCTTATTGTTTACAGCCGTCTGCACATTGGTGTGTTACGGTAAGGCTGGGTTCACACCTAGGCGTATTGAATATGCGCGTTTGTCGCGTGTTTTTACGCGCGTTTCCGTGGGCTACTTGGCTGTATCCCAATGGAAACGCGAGACCAAAACGCGTAGGCCGTTTTGTATCGCGTTCGGACGGGCGGAAATACGGCAAGGTGTGAACCAGACCCATTGAATACAATGGGATTTAGATGTTTGAGCGTTTTGTAGAGCGTTCGTCGAGCGTTGAACGCGCTACAAAACGTTCAGGTGTGAACCAGGCCTCACTCATTGTCACAGTAATGGGTAACATGCACTGCAGCGCACCAGAAGGGACATGCCGTGCACTGCGGTAATAGAAAAGCTTTGTGCCTGATATTCAGTGCGTTGAGGTGCGCGGTCCACCTTTACTGCAGTGCGCTATAACGCATGGTGAAGCTTTGCATTGCTGCAGTGTGTATGGAGTGCAGGGGGACCCAAGGAAACCGGCACTAGGAGAAATGTGGCCCCCGCTGACCTCTCCTTCTGCCAATGTTAGCTCCTCGGCTGTTTTCCTAATCCCGTGGCTTTAGTATTTTTAGTCATGGACCCGGAACAAGCATGCATCTTAAAAGGAGAACTATGAGGGGAGTGAAAATCACTCAGCCTCATAGTTCGAGCCGACGTGTTACAATGAGACTGTCACAGGTCGGCTCAGTAGATCGGGAAGTGAGCGAACACATACCGTCACTCGCTCACTTCTCGATCCTGTGCCTAAAGAGTGCAGTGACCGTCACTCATGGCTCCCTGCAGGGATTCCCCTCCTCCCCGCTCCGATCCTCCAGCGCTGACTGGCGGAACGGACGGGGGAGGGGGCGGGTACAGCTGGCTCTGCCTCTAGATAGGCGGAGCCAGCTGTCACTCACGCAGCTGGGTGGATCCAGACATCGATGTCGGGATCCGCTCCGGCTGCGGCGTCTCAGTATACCGCGAGCAGCGCTCCCTATATACTGAGCTTAGGGGTGATGGGAGGACGCTAGTTTGTGTCCTCCCGTCAACCTATGGAGAACTATGGGGAAAAGACTTAACCCCATAGTTCTCCTTTAAGTGCTCTGGCTTCACCGGTGGCCTAGGTGTTCGGGGTTGACGACTCAAATTTGGGAAAGCAGACACAGCCAGGTAACTAATATCAGGAGGTCGGCAATGGCAGCCCCGTATTTTCTTATGGGGGTGCACAGTCAATGGTACAACGTTCAGCTTTCACACGGCAAACATTCTAAATTCATATATTCATAACTGTCTCACGTAGAGATCTAAGACATGGACAAGACGCCGGGATTTGCCATTTCACCAATGATGAGTGATATTTATCCAGCAGTTACAGTACAAATTCATCAGTACGTGTGTGGGCCACATGGTGGTGCTTTGAATGTAATCCAATGTCCTGACGAACGCCCCCCCCCCG